CTAATGATTCTTTTCAATTTTTCTTAATTTGAAATTTAGAGTTAGATTTAAAATAAATAATAGGTGAAAATCCCTAAAAAATTCTACTTTTTTTCTACTTTAATTTTGTTTAATAAATAAGATCCTTTAATTAATTTTTTTAAAATTTGTTAAGTAATAATTAATAATATACAATTTTGGATAAACTCGAACACCTATGTAGTACTTTACGTGCCAAAGAATCAAATCAATAATGTTGTACATAAGGAAGTGTTTAATAACATATAAATTTTATTTTCATGAAATTTTTAATGGCATAAGATTATTTAAATACAAAAATACTTTTTAAAAATAAATAGGTGCTAAATGCTCCCGTGCATAGCACGGGTACCGTACTAGTTAAAAGAATACACTCTAAATAATAAAATGTCCTTATTGGTCATTTTGCAATGTCAAACAGCTATAAGTTTTCAGCTATTTACCAAACACTTATTTAAAAACTGCTAATATAATCCGCTGGTCAAATCAGCTAAGATAATTCACTATCCGTTATCTGCTGATCCCCAAACAATGCCATAAAATCACAAGGTGAATTATTTTAGTTTTGGAACCATATATGAAAAAATACACCCGTTTGCCAAAATTATAAAATTGGTCATATCTAGAGGTACAACGAAACCAGGAATTCATGAGCTCAACTTGTTTCATCAAGGTTCCAAGTCAGTTTAGCCGGTTAGGTCGTGTATCAAAATAATTTGTTAATCCCCATTTGTTAAAATTCAAATTCAACTGTTATTTAATAAATAAGTCGAACTTAAAACTATTCATTGATTTTATTTTCCTAGCGAGATAAGCTCAAGCTCACTTATGTTTGGATATAAAATTTTTTGGTTTAGTTTGGTTAATTTTAAAAAAGATGGTATGGTTAGTTGTTAGTGAGTACATTCAAATAATATTTTTAACTAAAATAATTAAAGTTAATTTGATGTAAATATATATAGGAGATGGATGATTTGAAATGATGATTAGTTAAAATTATATGAAGGGATATATAAATAGTGAATTAAAGTTTATGTAGTGTGTAAGAATGATTTATTGATATTATATAATTATATTGATCTACTAGTACAATAGTCGTGTACTACACGGGTACTTAAATATATTAATATTTGTACAATAAAAATTAAATAATTTACATTTTTATTGTGAATTATGTAGGATGAATATGCAACAATAATAAATAACTAACACAGTGATAATCAATTCAAATGGTGCCCGTAGTTTTACACTAAATTTGCCAAAAAAGATATTGTTAATTATATTTTTAAATTTATATATGTATAAAACTGATATTATTTACAACTTCATATATTTGATTTATTTTTTTTAACAAAACAAATTTTATTGTATTTATGATTACATATATATATATACTAAGAATTACCATTTTTAAAAAATGGCAGGTCAAATTATTAGTCAAAGTTAGTTAGCATTAATTACCTCCTATTAATAGCAATTTTTCTTCCCCTAAAAACAAGCGTGCAGCATTAATGCTGTCAGCATTTTTTTTTTCTTTTAAAACACGTGTACAGCATTAAATCTATCCGTGTAATGTGGCGTTTGTTATATACAGTTTCACATAAATCGGGTTGTCCATTTTTTTTATTTTCACAAAATCATTAAATTTGTTCGTGTAATATGGCGTTTGTTATGTACAGTTTCACATAAATCGGATTGTCCATTTTTTTATTTTAACAAAATCATTAAATATGTCCGTGTAAAATCTCGGTCTCTATATTCATGTTATTAAGTGTGCACATTTTTATTTGTATTTTTTTTCTTACAAACAACGACCAACATTAAAATCTCGATCTCTATATTTATAAAATCTCAATTCAAAATATAACAAAAGTTTGAGAATCTCGGTCTTTATATTGCGTCTTTCAAAAAAAAAAAAATATTGAACGCTAAAAATATTCTTTAAATTGCATAATATATCAATTAATCTTAATTTATTGAAAATTACTATTTATTTTTTATTAATATGCATAAAATAACAATAATTAATTCATCATTAGATATATAATTTATAATCTTAATATACTATCATTTGATTTATACATTTATTACATGAATCATAAAATATTTTTATTTCATAAAATTAAATATATTTAAAGAAAATAAGGAAATTTCTTTGAATAAATCGGATGATTGAATTAGGGTACTGTCCAGGTTGATTGAATTACTTTTAGGTGATATTTCAAATAGTAAAAAAACTTGACACAACTTGGATGGTCCCAGGTGACTAAGTTATGTATCAATTTGACCATATCATTGAACTGAAATATAAATTTTAATATTCAAAATACTTTATGACGTGAATGTGACGTAGTCCAATTATCCAAACTTCTAATAATCATATTAACAATACTTTTATGACAACATGTTTAATGATTAATGAATATTTATATATCATTTTATTAATATTTATGTGAATAAAATAATATTTAATTATTATTTTTATTAATGTACAGTGAATATGGTTTTCAGAACCGAACCGTCATCGAAACGATCAAGTTATTCTATTAAATCATTTGTGGTTTGTTCAGATTTTAATTTATAAATATTTTAATATATATATATATATATGTATATATTTATATATATATATAGTATTTTTGTAATAAATTCAAATAAAATGTGTTACTTTAATATCTAAACAATTTATAAATTCAAATGTTTAAACTAATTAATAAATAATTTATAAATTTCTATTTTATTTAAATATGTAATTTTATTTAAAATAATTTTAAATGTAACATAATTTTATTTAGAAAATCGTATCGATCCTACCAGTCCAACCGACTGGTGTTGACGGATACGATAACAAATATTTTTTCAAGCGAACTAGACTGGTTATAAATCGGTTCTCGGTCCATCCAGTCGGACTGTGTCCAACCCGGTTTAGTTTACAAACAATAGATAAATCATGATTAGTGTTATTTATATATTTAATGTATAATATAATTGTAATTTTGTTTTTCCGTGCATCGCACGGGCCACACACTAGTTTATATTTATAGAGCCAGTGTCTCACGTTTATTAATTTTCAAGTATTTTAAATTCATATAATTAATAACGTAGAATTTACGTAAAAATGTATTATTTTCTAACTTTATGAAATATGGAATTATTTTATTATATTTAATTATGATTTTTTATATTTACTATTTTAAATAACATAATAACATTCAATTTTTTATATAATCTATTTAAATTGAGAAATAATATTTTATTATATTTCTTAAAATTTATTTATGTAATTTTATCCAATTTATAGAAAAAAAAAATTAAATAATTATTTTATGGTGTATTAATGAATTAGATTTTTATTATTTTTATAAAATAATTTATATTGTTATAAGATGTTTTTTTGAATTGAGTTGAGAACAAAATTGATTTTATTTATAAATATAGATGAAATTATTTTTTATTTTATTTATGCAATATGAATGTCAAATAAAAAATCGTTAAAATATGATTATTTTGGTAGACCATATGTAAAAAATAAAATATCAATAAAAATTTATAAAGTTTTAAAAATAAAAAGAATACATATTTATTAATATATGAATTAAATAAAAAAAGTAAGAGTAATTTATGGTAACTTAAGAAAAGAGAAAACTAAAATAGCTTATGGTAATTATCAATCTTAATAGTCAAAACCAAATATGAACATGTTTCAATAAGAAACACCAATTTATGTCAAATAAGCTTACGAAGCACACGAACCTGTCACTTGGTTCTTGGGCTGCATTCGAGGATTATATATACGAGGAAAGGGATTGATGATCATGATAGTATGATTGAGTTAAAATTAAGTTAAAAAAATAGTTGAATTAAATATATTTAGATTTTTTTGAAATTTTTTATATGTAAGCATCCTCTAAGCATTTGTACTCAGGTCCTTCAAATTAATAAATAAATTCAATTAAATCCAAAATACACAAGGCATTTGTGCTCAGGTCAACTGGTTGATCAGACGGCACTATTCTTCACAGCAGGGCATTATCTTGTGCCGGCTTTTACTGTACATCCCATCACAATCTCAACCTCTCTGCAAAAATTCTTCTCCCTTCTCGCGTTCCCCTGCAGTGAAGCAATACGCGTTTGTCGTTCACTTTTTCATAATTCGAGAAAAAAAGGGAAAATTCTTGTTTCACTCTTGTAAAGATGTGTCGAGGGTATATTTTTAAGGAATATGAGGTGTGATTCTCGGTAGCCTGCAGTAGTTTTTAGGCGAAAAAAATTGAGTTTTTTCTTGAAGGGGTTGTAGATTAGGTGATTTAGAGAGGGGGTGAAAAAAGATGGGGTTTTTTAGGGCAATTGATTCTTGCAAGTGCTCAAGCTTATTTGGATTATTGGGTGTTGAAGCTTATTCCATAAGGTACTCCTCAAAAATCCCATCTGATTTGGTCCTCTTCTTGGGCCTTGGCTTCATAGATTGGTAATAGAAGTACACACTTCATCTCGTAGAGATATATACATAGTTTTTCTGAAATATTATAAGGATTTGATGGGTCTGATTCAATTTCTCCCACCTGTGTTTGGAGGGTTCATCTAGTATCTAGATTCTTGGGTTATGTTTGGGTGTGGTTTCTATATTGGCTTGTATTGTTCTTGTTAATTAGGTTAGGTTAACATCTTAATTCTTGCAGTTGCTGGGTTGTATCTTGTTTCATTCTCTTTTCATTATTAGAAGGTTAAAACTTTGGTATATTGTGGGAAAAAAAACCAAGGAAAAAAGAAAAAAAAAAAAGGAACTTACAGAAAATGAACAAGTTTAGAGCTTTGATGGAGGTGGGAGTTTGCAGCTGGGACCGACTTTGATAGTGTTGCCTGCCTGCAAATATTGTTGCTGTGCTTTTCCAAGTTCAATTAATCAATCGGCTACTCTAAATCGAAAACAGCCCTCGACAAAAGGCTGAAAGAAAGAAAGAAAGAAAGAAAAAAAATAAAAAATGGGAGACACACTTCTTACTGCTCTATCAATAGAAAACCACCATCCTTCCACCATTCTATCCATGGACTCGAGCGCCTCGTCATCACACGACGAGCTCGACCTCGAGATGAACCGCCAGCTCATCCTCACCCGCCCGCCCGACATCAACCTTCCCTTCTCGGCCGAGCAGAGCCCCACCCCTCGTCTTTGGAACCCTGACCATTGTGACATTCTCGACGTGGGGCTGAGCACCCAAATATACGAGACCGAGAGCTTTCTATCAGTCCCCAAAACGGGCCGTAAGTGCGCGAAACGGGCCGACAGCATATGGGGCGCCTGGTTTTTCTTCAGCTTCTACTTCAAGCCCGTATTAAACGAAAAGTCGAAGGGCAAGATAATCCGGGATGGAAATGGGATCTCCGGTTTCGAAAAATCCGACCTCAAGCTCGAAACTTTCCTTGTCCAGCACGATATGGAGAACATGTACATGTGGGTTTTCAAGGAGAGGCCAGAAAACGCGCTCGGGAAAATGCAGCTGAGGAGTTACATGAACGGGCACTCGCGCCAGGGCGAACGGCCTTTCCCCTTCAGTGTCGATAAAGGATTCGTTCGCTCGCATAGAATGCAGAGGAAACATTACAGAGGACTTTCCAATCCTCAGTGTGTGCATGGAATCGAGGTTGTCTCGTCTCCTAATCTCACAGTTCTCGATGAAGGCGATCGAAAGAGATGGACTGAGCTCACTGGCCGGGATTTGAACTTCACGATTCCACCCGAGGCTAGCGATTACGGCACGTGGAGAAATTTGCCCAACACGGAGTTTGAGCTAGATAGGCAGCAGACGCCTAAGGGAAGTAACAATGGTAATAATAATAATAATAATAATACTATTGGTAGTAATGGGCCTAATGGCCATGCGAAAAAGCAGCCCAATGGGTCTGTGCTTAATCTCTCGTCTCAGCCCACCAGTCATAGTAATGGGGATGTTGTGATGGACTTATCACCTGTTGGGAACAAAAGAAAGAAGGATTTTTTCTCGAATGATGAAGAGTGTTATCTGGCAGTGACTAACGGTCAGGATCGAATCATTCCGGATTTGGAAGCTGTGCCTTACGAGCCGAACTGGTTGAATGAATTTAGCGGTGTTATGAGAAACGTTTATGGGCCTGTTACGGCAGCTAAGACGATTTATGAAGATGAAGAGGGTTATTTGATCGTGATTAGTCTGCCGTTTGTGGATCTACAGAGGGTGAAAGTTTCTTGGAGGAATATGCTAACGCATGGGATTATTAAGGTTTCTTGCACGAGTACATCTCGTACTCCCTTTATCAAGAGGCACAACAGGACTTTTAAGCTCACCGACAGGTCATCCGAGCATTGCCCGCCTGGTGAGTTTGTGAGGGAAATTTCTCTTTCAACTCGAATACCAGAAGATGCAAAGATCGAAGCTTATTATGACGGGGCCGGGACAGTGCTCGAGATATTGGTGCCTAAATTGGGGGAAGGTCCGGAAGAACACGAGGTTCGCGTGTGTTTACGTCCGCATCATAATGAGGGTAATGATCTTATGTTGACTTAAAAAGGGTCTTTAGGGCGAGAAGAAAGTCTCGATTTTTGTTGGATGATGTTCTGTTTCTTAAAGTTCGTGTGCCGATTGGTTTTGCGATGTGTATAGTATGTTGTGTTTTCTTATGTTTCTTGTGATTGTGAAGGGCTTTCTTGTATTGATATGAATAATGCATACAACTAGTCTGCGTTGTAATGAGTGCTTTTGCTATGAGAATTTGTATTTGGATTATCATCTTAATGGCTTTTGATCTTCTTTAGCATAGCCATTTCTTGTGAACATGCTGTGATAAAACTAAGTAATGTAACTAGCAATACAGCATTTCTTGTAGACTTGGCAATTAGAATCACATGAACATAAATATGCCAGAATCAAGATAATATAATCATCTACAGAAATCAAGGGACAATATCAACAACTAGGTCTAGTCATCAAAATCCAGATGACACTATATTTAGGAATAAGTAACAGTATTTGTTCTGCAAATGCCAATTGGTCTTAAACACCGTTGCCCAACAAGTAATACATATCTGGAAAAATTGAAACAAGAATTCATCTACTGAGCATCGAGCAAATATGTACTCAATTGGTAATCTACTGAGCATCGAGCAAATATGTACTCAATTGCTTTTAACCCAGCACATTGAGATTTGTCACATCTAAACCAGAAATTTTAACTATTACAGTAACAGAACCACGCAGATTCAATTTCAACATTCACATTTAGCCCCATTCCATTAAACAAAAATGGCTACAGAAAACATTAATGCATAATTAAAAAACAACCATCAAAACCCCCAAAAAGCACGAGAAAAATCAACAAACCAATTTCAGAATAGTCATTTCATTAATTCATTTCATAGGAAACATAAATTCAAGTACGCGTGTCCAAATCAGCTAACAGCAACAATACCAATTCATAACGAAAATTCAACTAGAGAAATAAAATTTACACGGCAACCCATAACCCTAACTGCGGACCAGAAACCAAGACTTCAACCGCCAAACCCGTACAGAGTGCGGCCCTGCCTCTTGAGAGCGTAGACGACATCCATGGCCGTCACCGTCTTCCGGCGGGCGTGCTCGGTGTAGGTCACGGCGTCACGGATGACGTTCTCGAGGAAGATCTTCAGAACGCCGCGCGTCTCCTCGTAGATGAGGCCGCTGATGCGCTTCACTCCGCCACGGCGGGCCAGGCGGCGGATCGCCGGCTTGGTGATGCCCTGGATGTTGTCCCTCAACACCTTACGGTGCCGTTTAGCTCCGCCCTTGCCGAGACCCTTTCCGCCCTTTCCACGGCCAGACATTTTTCTTCTTCTCAACTAAAATCAAGAGAGGGATTTTTGCTTTTCTGCCTATTGAGCTGTACTGGTGAAGCGGAATATAGGGGGCAGTTTATAAAGGAGACGAATGGAGAATGAAATGAATATGGTCCGTTGGATCTTGAGGTTTAATCGACGAACGAAATTGACGATCCGCGTCGCTATAGTTCCACTTTTCTGAGCCGTCGATTATGAGTACATCGAGGGTGGTAATGCATTAGTTATTAACACTGCGGATCGTGGTTTTCTGATTTTTAAAGAACTTTGGAATTTGAGTCACATGGGCTTGACCTCATAAAACAAGTCTGGGCTAATTGTGTTGTCATTACTCATTAGTGGGCTGTCATGTAAATGTACCTTCTTCGAGTTGAGCCCAAACTGACAGGCCCCATATTTTGTGCCGTCCAGTTACATCATAGGGTGAGCAAAACAGGGTAACCTAGCATAATCGTACAGTTGCAGATCGGCTGTTTTAGTGTAGCCCAGCTAGTCATTTCTACATTGTGCTTAGATTTATATTAGGATTGATTGATGGTTAAATCCTATGAAATGTTGATTTAAGAACTTTTAGATTCAAAATGCTTGCTCATCAGCGGTGGACAAGTGAGCACACAATTTTTTTTTCTCGTAACTTGGTGTGGAAAAATTCAATTCTACTACCTTCACTGGTAAGATTGAATTTGCCCTCAGTGTCTGAGTGGTGATAATAAAACAACCATTTGGAAATTTTACCTACATTTGACTGACATTTTTGTGTCAATTGATTTTTCGTTTTCTCCTTTGTGAGAATTGTGTTTGTACAAAATGGATCATCATGGTCTTAGTTTGTGACCGTCTTTGTTCCAAAGTTTCTGCTTTCAAGGACAATTTGCTATCTGGGTACTGGTGTGGTTTTATTCAAAAGTTACAGCTTTTAATACTCAATTATTATAACATAAAATACAATCACTATAAGTAAAATTTGCGACTTGAAGCTTTTAATACTCAACTGGATGAAAGCACTCACTAATCCTTAACTTTGATTATCAGAAGCAATTCATATATCAATTGTCCACAGTCCATAAGATTCATTAGCACTGATCACTCAATTAATAAAACTTAAAGGGAGCAACTGACCAGAACATTCAAAACCAAAAACATATCACTACATAGAAAAAGGACCATGACAACTGAACAAGCAGAATACATCGATTTCAATGGTGTTCGCGTAATCACAACGAAAGTATCAACTAAAAATAAAACAACTATAGTGATTTCAAAGCCAACTGTAGCCTAAAAACGAAATTAAATGGTTCGTACAACACAAGCAAACAGCTGCTTTGGACTTTTTGCAGGTCCATCACCAGACATTTCAAATTTATGGTTCATTTTCCTCACACAAACCCAACACAGTGGGTTATTACAAAGTAANAAAAAAAAAAAAAAGGATCAATCATTAAGAATAAAGTATACTAACCTCAAACAAACCCACCTTCAGACCACTTTGCATCCGATTTTCCATTATAACCCGCTGACTTCTTATCAGGTGCACTTTGATAGAAACTATCAAATCCATCGTCTTTATCATCATCCCAGCCTGCCCATCCATCTCCATTATGGGATGTTGTCCCCTTCCCCGAATCTTCTTTCCTGTTGTCTTTGGTATACGAATCCCAATCATCCCAAGAACCAGAGCTAACAGTGTTAAACTTTTGGCTGGATGAGTTTTTTCCTTCAGAAGTAAATTGTTGGCTTGATGAATTTTGTGCCCCAGTAGAAGAATTCCACCCTCTGGACTCCTGTCCAAACTCCTGATAATAACCACTATTTTCACTCTCATTCCTTTGCCATCCTGAGCCCGAGCCTTCCTTAGCGTATGCCTCGACTTTCTGGGAGGCCAAAGCCATCACCCCTTTCATAAGCCCCCATGTCTTTTGTCCAATCTCTGATGTCTTTGCAGTAACAACGCTAACAGTTTCGTTGACCTTGTGATCATATCCCCCTTCTTTGACCTGCAAACGAGAGATCAATGTGAATCATACTTCAATTTCACACATGTTGAATTCTAAGTTTCACCACTATAAAAGTGCACAACGAATTTCTGCAGAAATTGCAGGCTGTAAAAGATGCACATGCCTGAACCTAAACTTATATAACTGAACTCATTCCCGAGCCTTTTGGGTCTACTAAACATGTTCCATGATCCTGGTTACATAACTTGAAAACGAGACAAGTGCTATTACAACAAATTACAGTACACATTTTAACTCAACAACGAAAGAATAAAATGCAATGGCTCAGGCTGTTTAATGAAACAACATGGATTTCCAATCAAATTACACGTTAAAACGAAAGAACAAAATGAACACCTTGGAAGTAATATCCTTAGTTCCGGCTTGAACAACACTAGCAGCCGATGCAGCAGCCATAGATAACATGCCAAATCCCTGCATATGCAAAAAAAAACAGAATTATCTACATTGTATACACATACACGTGCACAAATCAAATTCATACTAAACCACAATAATCCTCACAACCCCACCTGAGTAACAACTGAAAGAACATCCCCTTCGGAGTTCTTCCTCGGCAGTGGCGCCGGGCTCGATCCGAACCCAACATACTTTCCTCCCTGCGAAGGAGGAATATTATCCGGCCTAGACTCATTCTCAGCCATTTTCCTAGCAAAAAAACCCTCCTTATTCGCGGCCGAAGCCTCCAGCTGTGCCCTCGAATATATATCCTCGGTCGATTTCGACCGTGATGGCGCACTCCCGCCATTACCGGAACTCCTAAAATCACCGACAGTATTATTCCTCCTAATATTATTGCTACCATTTCCACTAAAACCTCCATCATCAAAACTATCCCAACTATCCCAACCGCCCCCACCACCGCCGGAACCACCGTTCCTGCTCCCCCCGCCGCCGCCGCTCCCCAACGGCGGCTTACTACTGTAGCTATTACCCGAACTCAAGGCCTCCTTCACCACCGGCGGATCGTGCCACGGCTTGCCCTCGGCGAGCGCCTGGACGCGGTCCCGATAGACGGCGGCCGCCTTCGTGTTGTACTTCACGGCGATGTCAGTCTCCTTGGGGATGCCGTACCGAGAGACGAAGGCGTTGAACCGCTCGTTGCCCCCGAGCTCCATCTTCTTCAGCTGGATCTCGGACCATGAGTCCATGGTGACGGATCGGACGAAGGAGATGTGGACGCCGAGGCCGCGGTGCTTGCCGGAGCACTCGAGGCACATGAAGACGCCATAGGAGACGGATGCCCACTGGGGGTTCTTCTGGGGGCAGTCGACGCAGATCTTGTTGCCGGGCTGCGATTGGAGGTCGCGGAGCCGCCGTGAGGCCGCCATTAGGTGCCGGGTCGAGTCGGGGATTCGGTCGGAGACGGTGGCTCCGGGGGTTTGTAGATCGGATCGGATCAATGGGAGAACAAAAAATGGTCGATGCAAAATTTGAGAATGGAGGAGTTTATTTATATTTTTATTTTTTATTTTTGTTTCTTATATATTTTTGGGAAATTGGAAGTAAGAGAGAAAGGATGTTGTCAGAGTCAGATCTATGTGGATTTCGGCCGCTGTGTGCTGGCCACCGACTGGTTTGGGGGTATAATTGTCCTTATAGATTTACAAGTTACAATAAATGCGGCTCTGTAGGGCGGGACCCACTTTCAATGATCACCTTCGACAATACGACGTACATAGTCTTGTCTACATTAAATGCGTTGCTTGATATCGGTCTCCAAAGGATCTTAATCGTTTTTTCTGTGATTAAGTAATCGAGTTCCTTGTAAATGCTATTTATTTTTCATGATTTTATCTTTGAGGTCGGATAGCAGTGCTACTGCCGTGTGCCCTGGCACAGCTAGGTGTGTCAGGGCAATTTAAAATAAATATGTTATGTTACAAAATGAACATGTGCAAACATAATTTACACATGTTCATTTTGTAACATAACATGTTCATTTGTGGCACACCTAAGTATTTGCGATCGGATAGTCACGTTGTTTGCGCCACATGTTGGTCGATTAGACTGGTTAGCATTTCAAGTGCCTAATACGTCTAAATTAAAAAAGTTTTTTTTACCCTTTTTGTCCACTTGTGGGGGCGTGTTTTTCTCCACTTGTGTGAGATGTAGTTTGTGTTGGTGGGTGTGTTATAATCACTGTACTAAAAATCGGCCTATGCGGCCGCCTAGGCGCTAGGCGGTGCCCGGACGCATCCGATTTGTACAAATCGGTAGAAAAAATTGGCCAGGCGGCTAGGCGGCGCCTAGGCGGCCCTAGGCGCTCCTAGGCGGGCTTGGCGGGCTCGGCGGCCAGGCGGTTAGGCGGCGTCTAGGCGGGCGTAGGCGGACCTAGGCGCTCCTAGGCGGGCTCGGCAGCAATTTTTCAGTTTTTTTTATTTTTTTATTTTTTTTATTTTTTTAAATACTAATTATATTATTTTATTCTCATGTTTTCTTTAATATACATTGATATTATTATTTGGAATTTGGTGTGTGAATTTATTATAAGTTGAGGCAGTTTTATTTTGTAGGTAGTTAAAATAAATAAAAAATAAGGTATTTAATATTGATTTCTGGGCCCCGACTAAGCGCCGCCTAGGCCCCGACTAGGCACTAGGCGCTGGTCGAGCGCCTAGCGGGCGCCTAGCGACTTTTAGAACATTGGTTATAATGTGTTTCTAGTGTATGTTCTAGGCGATCTTTGGGTATGTCCTTCCACTACATTCAGATTTATAATTGTTTCCTTCAACTGTTTAGCTGTTTTTATTAGATTTATTTATTTATAAAGCTAGAGGACCATAAACATTTCCGATGCTACAATATATATAGATACATACAGCCTAATCAACCACATATAATAATCATCATCAAAATGTGGGGTCAAAATATAAATTCAGGAACATACGAATTTACCCACGCTAATTTTATTTCATTAAAAACTCACATTGATCAGATTACAAATGACTGCCAGTTGAACAGCCTTAACCGATTTTTCTTTAGGGAAAAAAGAATCAGAACAAAAGGAAGAAAAAAAAGAACATTGCAACTTGAAAATTGTTTAAACTAAAAATACAGAAAATAGTATCAGCATTTGGGAAGATCAGCCGGAGGAGGAGGAAGCTTCTGGTTCGGGAGTTTGCCGTTGAGGACGAGCCACGCCATCTTCAATCCCCAGCTCGTGTGTACCTCCAAATGGCAATGCATAAACCATACACCTATGCATACACACATACATATACTCATTTCCCCTGTATATATTGTTTTTTTTTTTTAAATGTTGTGATATATATATATAGTGTTTACTTTACTTACCTGGATTATCAGCTAAAAACCGAATGGCGACCCACCCGCCAGCTGGCACTCCAACGGTGTTCCTCTCAACCGGGTCGACAAGGTTGAAACTTTTCGGGTCTTCTCTCGGGTCGAAATTGCCGAATCCTTGCCCCACCACAAAGAAATTAAATCCATGGAGATGAAGAGGATGGGTTTCTGCTCCTAGAATACTGGTATCTTGCATTACCAGCTCAACCCTGGTGTTATAATCCAAAACCATTAGCTTCGTCCCGTTTGCCACCATTGTGTTGTTGGGTGGATTCCCTGTGTAGTTGAACCATAAAGGGCTGTACGGAAAATCCGAGCTGTAAACTCCCTTCGAAAGGCCCGTGAAATGGGCCTGGAGAAGCGCTTTCGTGGGCTGCACGAACGATATGTTGCTGATGGAGGCCGCGAACTTGGTCCCGTTTGGCCCTTGGCAAGTCCTGTTCCCGTCGCACGGGCTCGTCCCCAGCCCAACCGTGAAGAAGAACCGCTTGTCCGCTTTCTTCGGGACGTTTGCCGGAAATCGAGCCGTGGCAAGGCTGCGCAGCCTTCCCGTGAAATTCGCGGCGAACGAGATGTCGTTTAGGGGCGGGAGGGCCGGTTTGTAGAGCGGCAGTTTCTTGAGTTGGTGTGACGACGACGATGATGTCGGCGGAGGCTCGTATTCCAAGACTCCGGCGACTGTGGAATTGTCGAAAGTGCCCTGGCCAGTGGCGTAAGGCCTCGCCGTCATTAAAAAAGTGGCGCCCGGGAATTTGGGTTTAGTTCTGAGAAGGATGTTTGAGGTCTGGCCAGGGGAGATGAGGATGGTGTGGGTTTCGAAGGGCTTGATGTAGACGGCGTCCACGTCCACCACGGTTAGCGTGTGGTTCGCCACGCCAAAGAAAAGCTCGTCGTTGAGCGCGGCATTGATGACTCGCAGAAGGTAAGTCTTCCCGGGCTTCACCCTCAGCCTGAACGTGTCTTTGGCAGAGCAGTTGTAGAGAGGCCCGGGAAGCCCGTTTATCGTGTAAGCATCCGAAACGTTCGGGCCTCCGCCAGTTTGCAAGGCCTGGCTAATGATGGCCTCCGTGTCCGCATTGAACCATTCCCCTGCTCGATTTTCAAGCGAATAAAACATTCGTCCTCATAATCGAAATTTGGAATATAATTATTTAACTGTGGTTTATATATATAATGCTGACCGAATATAATGGGGACTTCCTTGTAGGGTTTTTGGAACGGGTAAGGCTCGTTTTTCTTGGGGAGGATGATGATGGGCCCGTAGAGCGTGGACCTGAGCCACGAGATGTGGGCGTGCCAGAAAAGGGTTCCGCGTTGGCCCACTATCGTGAAATTGTAAACATAGCTCTGCCCAGTTTGGATCGGGCATTGGGTTATGTACGCAGGCCCATCGGCCCATCCACTGCGAAGCTGCCTAATTCCGTGCCTGTCGTATTAAATCGTGTTACATAAAATGCTATAGCTAAAGCAACAATATTATTAGCTAATAATGTATAAGTTGATTGGAGGAGTTTTCTTTTGTATATATGTACCAATGGAGGGTAATATTGTTGGGGACATAATTGGTGACTTTTATAAGCAAACGGTCGCCTTCTCGTGCAATGATGGGAGGTCCCGGGAATTTACCGTTCACGGTGACTATGCTCTTCGTGTGGCAAAGTCGAGTCACGTTTTGTGTCGTGATCTGCAAGAAATTAAATGTACGACGAGACATGAAAATTAACACAAAATTGTATATTTATAGTTCGAAGAATTGATTTTCTCGATTGGATATGATACGACGAACATACATTGAATTCGTAGTGTCGAGTGGCGGCTTGTGCATGGAGTGGAAGCAAGTACAGAGAGATCAATGCCAGAAAAAAACCTATAGAAACCATTTTTTTTTTTTTTTTTGGCAATTTGATTTCTTTCTT